CATACTGGGTATTCTCCCAGTGGGGAGCCCACTGACATCCAGCATCTCCTCTAGTATCACCTCCAGTCTGGCTGCAACACCACCAAGCCCTGCCGGCACCAGCAGCATACCAGGCATGAATGCCAATGCCCTTCCTTTCTACCCAACCAGTGACACCGTTGAGTCTGTCATAGGTAACTTTGTCTTTTTTACTTATGCTAATAGGGCTTCCTCAGACATGGATCACCAGGTATGAGAATTGGAATAACACTGGGTGTTCCAGTGAACTCCAGTTTTTCATCTCTGTTGGTGTTGGCAGATTCCCGAGGCTGTAAGCTTTTTCTGTGACTGTGACACATCTAATGTTTTCTGCAGGTCATTATGGATGAAATTCACCCACGGGACCAACAGAAGGCCTCTAAGCCACTTACTCAGAATGTCAGATGGTGTAAAGTGCCTTAGTTTTAGGCTTGTCAAAGTGACAAAAGAGGTCTTGGAGCAGGCAGGAAATCACAGGGGCATTTTCCACAGTTACAACCCCTTACATGCTAAATGGCAATTTTATAGCAAGGGCTACCACAAGGTAGATTGTAAGGACTTGCCCTTCATAGAGTATAGGACAGAGGCTATAAGGAGAGCAGGAGAGTCCAAAGAGTGGAATCACTCCTCTTAGGTACAGGTTTTTTTGTCACCCGTTTTTCTCTTTTCTTTTTTCTTTTTTTTTTTTTTTTAATCTAATGTTTCTGAGGTGATCTCACTAATTTGTTAAAAATAATAATAGAAATGAGTAGGCATGTGTGGGATGGAATTATATTGATCATGGTTAGTGATGAGGCACGTTCGAATAGATACAACATTTGCAGGCATTCATAAGCTTTCTTTATTTTACACTATCTTTGAACCTCAGAGATGTTTTTCAGGTGTTCCCTTCTACTGGTGTTTCTTTTCTGAGTGGCTCTTCAGCAGAGTAGGGACAAAGCACAAGCCAGACCCAGACATGTCATAAGCCAGTGTCACTGCATATTATGGACAGACTTGAAAGAGCAGTTTGGGGAAGACTTATGGGAACTGCTATTTCATCTGATTTTTGTTTTCATATAACATTTGGGAATACTTTGAGACAAAAAGAAATAAGATCAGGCAAAAGAACCTGAACTGAAAAGCTGCCCATGACACTTCTACCAAACCATTTAAGAGTAGTGTTGCACAGGGCGGAGAGTAGGGCCGTGCAGACTGACAAATAGAGAGCGAAGGCTCCTCTGCATGTAGGCTCTTTGGGCCATCCTATCTCTTGAAGTTGTTGGTCCTTTATAACATAATTGGTACCTCTGTGTCTGGCAGAGTCTGCCTTGGATGACCTGGACCTGAATGAATTCGGAGTGGCTGCCCTGGAGAAGACATTTGACAGCAGCACAGTGCCCCACACGAGTGGCATCATGATAGGTACATGAAAGCAACAGAGCTTTCTTTATCTTCTGCCAAGCAGTGTTGCCCAGTCACCTCAGTGGAGCCAGCCCAACAAAGCTCTAAAACCAGTCCCAAAACAACATTGGTTAAAACGGCAATTATAACAAACTCTGGCAACCGCTGAGCATCTTTGAAGTGAAAGCTTGCCCTTACTGACTAGCAGAGCTGAGTTCTTGCCATTGGGCCCAGGTGTCTTGGGGATGTTTCTTGAGACTGAATGGGACTTGCTTAATTTTTATTTTTTTTTTTTTTTTGGAAGTGTGTAAGTAGAATCTAAAAGGCATCCGATACCTTTAAAAACAGGCCAAAGTATAACGATTTGCATCTTAAGGAGAAAACTCTCCCTAGCAGTAACAGGAAACTCACTGATCTGGTAATGCTATCCATCTGTCAGAGTGTCATCATGGTCTGCTGATTTGATTCCTGTAATGTCTGTCTCATTTTCCTGCGTGGAGGTAGGCTAAGGCCCCTTCTACCTGCGTCTAATGAGTGTCCAGGGAAAAATGAAATCTCTCCTAACTTTTTGGAAGTGGTTGTAGTTTCTGGCTACCCTTGCTGTGTAAGATGCAGGTTTTTGAATCACAGCTAACTTTGGTTGTCTGAAGGTTTCTAAGGGAACTACACTGCCTGGAGTTGCATTGAGGTGGGAAGGGACCTGTGGAAGGAACCCTAAAGAATATCACTTCCACTTCCCTGCCAAAGATAAGAGCCTGATCAGAGAGTTTACTGTACATGTCTGCTGATAGCTCTGCTTCTGCTGCTACCCATCTGCAGTGGCTTAGAGACCCTCCACACTGCTTTTCTCCCTGTTCACGTCAGGTCTGGGTGTTACCTGGTGATCTTCTTAAGAAGGGAGATCAGGAGAGAGTGGGGAGCAGGACTGAGATCTCCCTCAATCTGTGTGTGGCAGGCAGAATGGCCTCTTGCTTAAGGGAAGTGTGATGTCTTTGGAGCTTGGGCTTTTCTTTATTTGGGGTTTTTTATTACTGATGGATCCAGGCACTCAAATATGTCTAAAATGACTGAAGCTAGTCACTGATCTTTTTAGTGGGTAAGATCATGACCTGACCCAGCATGATAGTCTTCTCACTACAGGTTGTTTGGAAGTATTAAAGGCAGAGGCATGTGTTTTACAAGTGAATTTTTCATTACAAAATATTTCTTCAGATACCAAATTCATCTTCTCTAGGCTGATAGGGACTGAACTCTGCTCAGGAAACTTTTTGTTGCTTTGGCCGATGAAAGACTAGTCCATTGAGCTCTGGAGAGTATTAACCTATGTGGTTCATGGGATGGCAGCTTCAGTGCTCCTCTGAAAGGCTGCGAGGGGACTGAAACATGATGAGAAGTGGAGGGGATCCCGAGGGGCTTAGACAGGAGAAAGGGAACCTAACACCTTCTGCTCTGAACTCCTGCACTGTGCCCATACTTCATGGTCATACATAGCCATCCTCTCTGTGTGTTCTTTGTCCAGGTGGGAGTTTGCTGCAAAGTTCTGCTCCGGTAAATATCCCCGGGTCCCTTGGAAGCTCTGCCTCCTTTCACTCTGCCTCTCCTTCTCCACCGGTCAGCCTCTCATCGCATTTCCTTCATCAACCCCAGGGACACTTAAGCCAATCAGAAAACACATTCCTGGGGACGTCAGCTTCTCATGGATCATTAGGTAAATGCACAGTGTGTGTGTCCCATGTACATGCCTGTCTATGCCATGTAAGTATTTTCTTTTAAGTTAGTTTTAATTTTAATATATTATTTCACTGCTGCCATTTGTATCTCCTCTTGCCATGAGAACAGCAACAATACTAGAAGCTGCTTTACCAAAAATCAGCTAATACCTTGTGGACAAGGGAGCAATTCCCTCTACTTCCCATGTTTCTATGCTGAGAAAAAGAGACAGATAGGTTAAGTGACTTGCTCTGATAATGCCTTTCAGGGAAAAGAGCTCTGCCTTTTCCTGCCAAGAATACTGTGCTGAGACTTCACTTTACATAAAATTCAGGTCCTCAGCTTTGCTTACTTAAGGTGGGGATTGCAGTTTGTCCTTGGGGCTGCTTTTAGGTCAGATTGGCTTCTGGGAGCTCTAGAGCAGGCTTGGGTCATTGGACTTTTTTCTCTTTGGCACCCTGCATGCAGTTTTTTTGGACTTTGCAAAAAGTTATAGTGTTCCAGCTTTCTTCCTTTTGCTCTTCCCCCCCCCCCCCCCCCCCCCCCCCCCCCCCTCTCCCACCCCAGCCCCGCCAAGGTCCCACCATGATCGGATCTGTTTCCTGTATGAGGGACTGTGAAGGGAAGAGAAATTGCTTTGGAGCTTCAGCTGTTTTCAGGCAGAACTGGGAACTGGGGGGCCAAATCTATTTTATTATCAAGGCGCAGGATTACCTTGAGAAATAAAACTGTTTGAGCTGAAGGCTACAGTGACACTGGCTTTGCTAATTTCTGTTACTAACAGTAAATATTAGTTCTCTCTATTGATACTAGACGTAAACACTTCAAATTTGAAATACACTTTAATATTCAACTTGACCTAATAAAATTATTACATGCTTTTGTAGTCTATTTCTGCATGCGCTTATCTCTCTAACTGCATCCCTTGTTTGCATAGGCCAAAACCATGCTTCCGTGCCTTGCGATTGCTATTTGTTTAGTTTTAACAGCTTTTACAATTGCTGTAATAAGAAAAGAGACATAAGAGGGCATCTCTGCTATTAATTAGTGTGTTGAGGCTGGTTATTCATCCCAATTTCAGTAAGAAAAGGAAAACTTGCTGATAAGGTCTGCTTTTAATTTCAGAATAAACAAGTTAAGCAGTTATATTTGTCTTGGCTATGTAGTTATACAAATAAAAAAAAACCCAAAGAAATGCAGGAAATTCACAAATGCATTTAAATAATTTATTTTTAAGAAGAAGTTAGATATTTTCCTGTAATCCTCAGCAAAAATGGTTTTGTTGTTTTTGATAAGATAAATGGTAACCTAACAGTTGGGAATCTGGGATCTGTCTATTCCATGTGACTTGCTGAATGCACATAAGTTAGTGTGTAGCGTGTGTAGTTATTGTTTATTTGTATTGCAATTGAGTTAAAAATACCTAGTCTTGGGCTAGTTCCTACTGTGCTAGATGCAAAATGTGCAAAGAAGGCATTC